TTACAAACTAGTCAGGGGGAACCAGCAGGCATTGGGGAAGTCCCTGTTCCCCCAAGCACTGCCAGGAGTGACCAGGAATAATGGTCACAAGCTGGCAGAAGGTAGATTTAGGCTAGATATCAGGAGGCGCTACTTCACGGTCAGGGCAGCTAGGATCTGAAACCTACTTCCAAGAGGGTCTTTAAGAGGAGGCTAGATGAACACCTTGCTGGGGTCGTTTGACCCCAGTACTCCTTCCTGCCATGGCAGGGGTTCCGACTAGATGATCTGCTCAGGTTCCTTCCAACCCTAGAAACTATGAAACTATAGCTTTTATGATGATTACAATGCACGAGTTGTTTTCTGGCTCAGCAAACCTGGCTCCAGTCTGGGTATTAGTTTTGGTCTGTGATTGTCAAGGAGGTGAGAGTTATACCTCTGCCATTTTTAGGTCAAGACTTATATTTGTTTTCTTCAGGAGAATGACTGGATCGCACTGGCTATAGTTTACTTTATGGAGAGGGAACAAGGGTTCCAGATAACTGCTGCTGCTCTCTTTCTAAGCTTTATCTGGCAAAAAAGGTCTTTGCCTTGTATTCAAGCTTCATTCTATCTAGATATTAATAGTCAGTATCAGGTGATACTGTTAGAAAACTGAGGCCTGGAATAATTTGTAATTGCAGGCAGATAATTATTATGAGAAAAATCACCCCATTTTTGTTTCCTTTTTTACAGTTTTCATTTTTAAAGTGCATTTATTGTTTTAATAAATTGTTTCCTTTTTAAAATAAATAAAGACTGTGGCATCTTATTTTCACATAAGAAATGAAGAAAGTGAAAGTGACTGAAAATGATATAGGAGAATGTTTTGCTAAAATGTTTTATTGAAATCCAAACTTTCTAAAGGACCATATTAATTTCATTTTGGAAAAAATTAAAGCCAAGTTTTTCAATAAGATTGAAATGGAACATGTTGACTTTTCATTTCAGAATTTCTTTTATATTATACTGGATTTTAGATTCTAAAGAAGCCAAAATCATAATAAAATGCTTTGATCCAAAATTATGTTCTTTAAATTTCATTACACAGGATTTGTTTTTTATTTAGATTTAGCAGGGCACCCCAAATCTTAAAATCATGGAACATTCTGTGAAGCAAACTCTAGATTTGTCTTGTAAAAAGCTTATGTAAAAAACTGGACAGTCATGCTGTTAAATTCTCGCTAAACAAAGGTGTGTAGAAAAATAGTTTCACTTCAAAAAGATCTCAATTTACTTTCCCCACTTATTTGTGGAAATATATCTGTATTCCATATTCGTGGACCAGAACTGAGGGAGGAAGGACAAGGGGGACAAGGGATCTCTTTAACTTCAGTCTCTGTGCCAAACTGTGTATGCATAGAAGCAAGCATGCCCCTTCTGAGGATCTTCTTGCAGTGTCTTGAATACCACATGCACTCCATAAGGGAAGAGTAATTGGCTTTAAGGGCATACCCACATGGCACAATGAAGTGCTGTGCAAGAAATAGAAAAAACACAAGCTAGCTCAGGTACTAGAAGCCATAAGACTGCATTAGTGCAGCATTGTGTCTAATGTGCTGTAAGTTGGGTATCTCTGCATGGCATTTTATTGCACTGTGTAGACCTAAATACTGTACATCCACTCACACTTCAGATATGTGGAGTTTTTCTTACAGTTTCTGAGCACTTATTCTGGCTGTAATTCATTCCCACTTTTTATCTTTCCATTATCTGCACTGAATTTTGATGTATTTATTTTGGATAGTGTGCAAAACTAAATTATGGAGACTGGTAATGTGACTTTTCCCTTTGGGAGAAAGGAAGACCATTAATCTCTCCCATTAATTCACATTTTCCATGAAGAAAATCCTGAATGGAATTGTCTTCCCAGTTAGATCAGTTTTTTTCTGTATTAGTGCTCTAGTTATGAAAATGTGTTTTGAAATACTGTTGGTCCTGTGTTTTATTTTTTTGAAAATAGTATTTAGGACAAGTCAGTGTTATCTCTCTGTCCCCCCTCCCTTCCCCTCAAGAAAAAATAGGTGAACAGTTGAAACATATCAGCCAAAATCATCTTAACTTCAGGCAGAGATTCTTACAAGGCACTTTTGTTTTATACCCTGTACATCTACAGAATGATATGTTTTATTATTTGGGGTCTCTTGAAATTATTTTATTGTTTTGGTAGACTTAGGAGTTTGCTGCATCTTCCTGAATTATGCATTGAAAATTTTGGATGAACTTGGAAGCTTGATTTTACATAAAATCTAATTGATGATAAACATTTGATTGTGAAATTGGCTTGTTTAGAAGAAGATTCCCATCCCCTTAATAAAAATGACCATTTTTATAACCATATCACATCCTTAATGTAACAAGTATCTTGTATTTTATATCAAGGCTATCCATGGTCCTATGCACTTTATTTTAATTGTATAAATCTTAGTAAATGTGCTTTGTGTATGCAGGCACTTGCTGACCAGTTTGAAGACAAGAATACGTTGGTGTCTGAGCGGATGAAGATTTTTTACTGTTGTCAGGTGCCTCCACGTTGGGCAATACAGGTACCAAATAGTCATATGATATTTGCTTTACATACTCTATTCTTATTATTTTTAATAGTGCATACTCCTGAAAACTGCCACATAAACCTGCTGTCTACTTTATTACCATGCATATATTGGAAGACTTTTTGAAAATACAGGGCTGACATTACAAGAATGCACACTAAGACTATGTGCATTCTTAAAAAGGAATCAAATATTAGAACATACACAGGTCTTTTATGTTTATTTCTGTTATACACATAACTACTTGTTGAGTAAGCTTTCTACATTCTTTTCTCCTTTTTTCTTGAATGAAAAAAGAAATAGGAATTCTTCAATTAAATAAGGACAAAAATAGTCAGGGTGTTGCATACTTACAAATATTTATATGAAAAGGGAATGCTGCCACTACCTCAGGAGCCTATTCCTGCCTTTTCCCTTATTCATGGAAGGAACCACTGCTTAGATCTCTCTTGGAGTGGCCAGGCATTTTAGGAAGTGCATCATAGCAAGAGTATCCAGAGTCAGCAAGTGAAGTACCCCACAGGATTGCTAAGTCCGAACATTTCAGTTTTGTTGTTATGCAACTTTTTTTTATAGCACGAACATTTTTCCAGCTACATTTTATTATTTTATGTATAAGGCCCTGCTGTATGAAAGACTGCAAACTACTATTACACAATAATATTATATTTCAGTGATATTGTATTTAAATACAAGTATCAAAACTAAGATTCAAGACTATGGTCAAACATTTTCCCTAAAGCATGCATTTTGTTTATTTTTTAAATGTTGTTTCCTTTTTAATTTTCCTTTGTTGATGCTCTGGATACTATCTAAAAACTATTCATAATTTCCCACAGTATTCTTCAAATTATTCCATGCAATCTTTTGACAAACATTTATAATAAACACTAGCAAATGTGTTTTTCATTTCCAGTTGTCAGAGTGGCATTTTTCTGTCTAAGCCAATTTTCCAAGCCAATGTTACAAATACCAAAATAGGGATTTGGAATACAAGGTGGTTGCATCTTGACTAAGAAGAGGCATTATCTTTAAGCATTACCAAAGTTGAAAAAACAAAAGTAATTAATCCCATATACAAAAAAAGTAAACATTTTTTCTAAGCTATTATTATTAACTTAGCATGTGCTTGCTTTGTTAAAAGTGTTAATGGCACACATGTAAATAGAATAACTATTGCCAGGTCATTATTATTTATTACCACATCTGTTCGTGTATGGCTACATTTCAAGCCATCTTACAAAGAGTACTGAATTCAGGCTCCACGTGACCTTTGAGGTACGTTTATGTGCACCTCAGTGGAGGATTGGCATATTATTTAGTACGGTTCCACTTATTTTCACAAGCAAAATTGTATACTTCTTGCCTGCGGTAGGTAAATTCTGTATTTTCTTTAAAGCTGAAAAATGTTGGCTATGTTAACCTTCAAAAACCCTTGTCAGTCTTGAAAATGTAACTTAATCATATAGCTTAATATAGAATGGCTTATTTTTTTTATAAATGATGTGTTACATTGAAATACCTCTGCTGTTAAATTTCTCTTAACTTTTCAGATCATTATGACTACTCAAAATGGACTATTTTACTCTTTCTATAGGTAGTTTCCCGTGTTTCCAAGTTAATGTAACCATCTCCATAGTTCAGTTTTCAAGTTGTATGGACAGGTTTACCTGGAGAAGTTTATCTGAAATATTATGAAGCAATTTTCAGTAAGAAGGTGGTTTATCAGTGATAAGCAAACATCAATAAATTTAAGATTTTATATAGATAAGTACCCAACAGTTGCAAGTTGTATTCAAAGCTAAAAGTCTCAGAAGAACAATTTCTTCTACTTTTTCTGCATTCTTCATGTTCAGGCCAGACATGTCTCTTTCATTTTTCCTGGAAATTAAATTGAATCTGAATCTAACATTTTTATCTTTATCTATCTTGACTTTTCTAGCGTCAGCTTGCGAGCTTACTCTTTCAGCTAGGGTGCACGAGTTCAGCTCTACAGATCTTCGAAAAACTGGAAATGTGGGAAGATGTAGTAATATGCTATGAAAGAGCAGGGCAGCATGGGAAGGTAAGAACCTCCTTCTTTTTTAGCTGTTGTTTTTGCTATTTACATTACAGTAGCACCTTGAGGTCCCATTACACTGCTTACCAGAGAAACCCAGGGCACCCATAAGCACTCTCAAGATATGATGATAATTTGAGAAGTAGATGCAATGTTAGAGTAGGGGAGCAGAAGAAGAACAAATATATATAGTTTTTAATATATTAAACTTTTCATATTTTGTAATTATGGTATATGCTTCTAGATTTTGCACCTGCACTTACAAAATTGGTCAATGTTTAAAATAGGTATAGATGTTATGGCAAAAGTGGGCCTTGAGATAACATTTTGAAGTAAGAGATGGCAATAACGTGAAAGGTCAGTTAGGAGATAGCTTTCCATGCATAAGGAAAAGTGAAAAAAAAACTTATGGCACTCACAAACAAGTACCAGTTAAATCTGACATCATCGGAGGAACAGAAAGGACTTGATTTGGAGGAAACAATACGAGTAAATAGGGATTGCCTTTGGGGTTGACGGCTAAAAACTTGAACTTGATTATCTGAAATAAAGGAAGTCTACTGACTGATTCAAAAGCAAAATGGTGATATGCTCTTCTGGGATAGAAACCAAAAAATTAAATTAACAGCTGTGTTACCAGAATTGTTAACGGCGACTGCTACCAGTGGGGTGCACCCAAAGACATTTAACTGTTGTCATCTAACCCATCTGTAGATGACACAGCAGTTTAAAAGTGCTGGTAGTCTGTACAAACCACTCCCACTATTGCTTGCACTTCTGGAGCTGTAGTGGTGCGAGAGAAGTTGGGAGAGAACACACCTTTAAGTGTGTTCTCTTTATGGCAGTGTGGTCCATGTGGGGAGATTCACAGCTTAAGTTTTCATTGTAAACCCTGTTTGCAGTATGACATAACTTTCTGAAACTTTTGCTTTTCAAGTGACTACTTGTAGACAGACCTTCTATGAAGGTATAAACACAGAGACCATGCTTACACTGAATTAAGGTTACAAGGGCAGTTTATAGACTTCTTACATAGAACTATAACTTCAATTAATATAAATAATGTGGAATTCCTTACTCAGGCTTACATCCTTTTTCCAGTTACACTAGACCAGTATCACATCCTGGTATTTATAGCCTGACAGATCTGTCTTTGATTGCAAAATTTTATGTTTCATTATGCATGCTGTGGGGATAATATGCTAATATAAGAACCCTTTCAGTACAGTAGAGAAATAGAGGTCGATAATTTCCATTTCCTGGAAACACATTCTGTCCTAGCTAAATACACAAACTGCCCTTAGGGAGTTATGAAAATGGTATTCAGATAGTATAAGACAGGATATCTGATGCAGGAAACTTGTTAAAAATGCTTTCAGAACTGATTGTGCAGTACTTTGAAGATAAAATGCTGTGTAAGTGCTAAATAACAATAATGCTGAAAATAAAGTAAGATCCTGATCTAAATAGCAAAAATTAAAAACATTTGTGGGTAAGCCAAGGGATGAGAATAGTTGTGCTCTTTATCAGGAGAACAATTTATCTAAATGTCTTTTAAAAAAAGAAAAGTACAGTAACTTCTTTTGTGGAAATACATTAGAATCAGCTAAGGCAGTATATTGTTCAGTGAATGGAGCAACCTCATTAAGAAGCTTTCTGTACTTGTGCCTAAAAAGCAAGCTTTCTTAGGCAAGCGTTTGTGTCTCTCCCCTGAAGACAGTTTTTGAAGAGTAATTGAAAATCTGAAGAACTTGACCAAAATAGCCAGACATTTCAAAATGTCAGGGAGTAGTCTATGTAAAATATAATTAAGCATTTTTGAATTCTTGATTGAAAAGTTACAAGCATCAGCTTTGCAGCCATAGAAGTGGAAATGTATAGTTTATTACTGCTACATTCAGTATATTTGGGACAGTTTGTACTTCCCTAAATGATAACTGAGGGAATGTAAATAGTAGGACAAAATTTACTCAGAGCAACATGTCAATACACTTTACAGAACTTTTTTTTTGCTGTTTATTTTACCATTTATTAAATGTACTTGTAAATGTACTTGTGGCTCTGTACTTGTTTATTTCATAATATGAACATAATTAGTGGAAACTGGTATCATAAAATGAGTCATCTAGAGAGTATCACAGTGCCAAACAATAAGCAAAGCACAGCACTATTCAAAAAAGAGGAATTTAAAATCTGACCATGTGGTATGCTGATAGTTACTGTGACCTTGTCATTCCAGTTTTTTCACTTGCTGCATTCCAGTGGGCCTACTTATAATAATAACAATAATAACAAGCACCATTCTCCTGAGGCCAGCATTGAAAAGGCCAAGTGCAGAGATCTGATCTGAGACCATTGATATTACTGAAAGCTAAAGAGGGGCATTTTTATGACTGGAGATGTAAATTTTGGGTGGGCTTGGCCAGAGGTGATAAGACAGCCCCCTGGCCTTCAGACTTTCAGTCTGGCATCCTTTTTTTAGAAATATCCCCTGGCTGCCAGTAATGGCCCCTCAGCTCCAATACTATCCTCAGGTCCTTCTCCCCTTCCTTCCTGTTAGGCAGCAAACCACATGGCAGAGGACTAATAATCCTACATATGTTAGCTCTTTTCCTTTGCCTTGCTGCCTCTCTGCCTGTTGGTGCATGTTGAAGGGGCAGGCAGGGTAGGAAAGATGAGGTAAATGAAGGGCTCAGTAGAGTTCGATTCCTATCTTAGTTCTTCCTGCATTAGCTGCAGCCATTGAACCTGCTATAGTTCAGCAGGCACAGGCAAGGTTCTTGGCCTGGTTTTTAAGACACCTTCAGGGACAAGACACCCTTCCCTCTGTCCTCTTGGAGGGACTTGGTCCTTAAATTAACTCAGGGTTAGCATCTGTGGCTTACCTCCTCAACCAGCCTCCCTATTTTCTGATTCAGTTGTGGCTTTGCAGCTGGAGCTGTCAGTTTGAAAAGCCAGAAGAGGCTCATAAGAGCAGCACTGACTTGAAGGAATAGAAATGTTTCTTGAGTAAGCTGGAAGGTATTGAGGACACAGTTGTTGGGGGACACTCTTAAATGGATGACCCACCCCCTCCTCACCAACCTCTTTCCATGCTATAGGAAGAAATATTAGGGTCAGAAGATTCTGTAGGAGTGTGGAAGAGGAAGAAGAAGTAGAGAGATGACGATATAGATGGTTCCTAGTTTGTACCAGAAACTTTTTTACCTGCCAGAACCCTAGAACACTGCAACTTGAACACCTGTCATCGGGATCATGGACGGTCCTTTGGCTTCTTCAGACCCTGGAGCTCTGTCCTGGTACCATGTGTAGCTCCAGCTCTGCCCCTTTCTCTGTTATCTCCATGTAGTGGAAAAACCAGACATGCAGCCTATGTTAACAGCAGCACAGGTAGCAAACTACCTATTAACAGTCTTCTTCTTCAACACAGGAGAAGCCTGGGAATGGAAAAAAAATGCACAAAAAATCTAAAAAATGTTGCTTTGTTCAGGGAACTATAAATGTAGGAAGAAATCTCAGTCTCTTTCAATTTAGATTGAATATCAGGAAAAACTTCTTAAAAGCAACATCAAATAGTACATTAATTGGTAAATAAGCACTTTCTCACATAAGTATTTTCTCACACAAAACATGTACCTTTCTCTGCAAATTTGCCTTCCCTCTTCCTGAAAAGTGGGGTGCATGTATTAAGCAAGAAAGCTGTTTCCTTCACTGAGGAAGAAGCAAGCCTGGAGGCAGGGGCACCTAGTGGCACCCAAGGTGGGGCCCAGCCTGGCCCACACAGCTCCAAAGGGATGGGCCATGGCTGCCCTGCCCATGAGGGGATGCCGCCTGGCCAGGCCAAGGCACTGGGCTTGGGGGCTTCCCAGCTTGGCCTCCCTGTGTGCCGGCCACAGGACAAGCAGGGCAGAGCCACCCCTGGTGTAAGAGCCTGACCGCATGAGCCCCCTGGAACAGCTGCTGTGGGTGGCACTCGGAGTTGAGCCAGTCAGGGGCCTCCAACAGAGCGGCCCTCCGCAGCGCCTGCCCAGGCTGCAGCCTCACCCACCTGCGGCTCCCCTCCAGGGGTCGGTCTGGGCCGGAGGGTGCAGCCCAGAAATAGGGGGAGGATCAGCAGAATGCAGACAACATCCCTGCCTCTGTTCTCTTGCCTCTGCCCCCGGTGCCTGCCACAGGGCTGGGACCTATGGTTTCCGGAGCCGCAACTTAAAAATCATTAAAAAAAAAAAAAAAAAAAAAAAAAAAAAAAAAAATGTCCTCGCATACCTCCTGGTGTGCTGAAGAAAATGTCTCCACATGCCAGTAATTGGGATGCGTGCCAGGGGGTTGCCTATTCTTAGTCTGAGGCATAACTTTGTATGACATAGAGTAAGTCTTCCTGAGAACACAGTGTGTCCAGGAAGTATGGCATCCCAGGAGACAGTCTGAGTGAGGCAGCAGGCCCTGAGGACTTCCTAATGTAGCAGGAAGTTCCTACCGCTCACTGTCGTATCTAGACTGTCTCCTGCAATGCCATACTTCCTGGCCACTGTGTTCTCAGGAAGACTTGCTCTATGTCACAAATTGGCCAGAAGTCTGGAAAAACCTGTGCCCCCCCCCCCCCAAATATTCTGGCTTCCAAAAACCAAGATGAATGTTTTATTTGGGGGCATGTTGTATGCCAGAAAGTACAGTGCTTTTGAAGATGCTTTCAGAATTGTAACTATTGCCAATAGAGCTCTCAACAGCCATGAGAGAGAGGTTGGTATTCCATTTAGAGTTGAGAAAATTGAGAGAGAACAGAAGTGGCTTCTCCAAGGTTATGCATCAAATCCAGAAGCAAAGCAGGACTGCGAATTTTGGGAATCTGATCCCCATGCTTAACCAACCCTGTGACACTGCCTGTAAGAAATAGGTGAGAGTATACTTTAGGAGACACTTAAAACTATTTAGAACAAAATGGAAAATTATACTGCAGTGAACAATCCTGTGGCAACAGAGGGTTATGTTGTTGGATAGCAAGGCCT